TGCATTAACAGATGCACTTATAAACACAGTTTAGTGCATCAGTCAGTTTGAAACAAAAAACTGTGTCGGTCACGTGACTGTCGTAAAACGAAATGCGCTGTTAGAGCTCGACCCATTGGTGTTGCTGGACCATCAATACTTTATACTCACCCTCCTTTCCTTTCCTGTTAGTTTTTTTAGGTTTCATATTTAAAGGCTACTCACTCTTTGAGTATATTTTAGAAATCCATAATTTTATGTCATTCAATTTTAATATGGGTATAAAGGATAAAGAAGCCTGAAGATTTCTAGATATAAAAGTCAGAATTGCGCCTCGCAGCATGTATGGGAACCTTGCACACATTATTGTGGGGTAGGGTCCCAAGCAGAGGTCCGATTTTCCTCTGTAACTAATTAAACAGCCTTTCTGTTGTAAAATCACCAATCCTTGTAAAGCATGAATTTGCTTACAGTGCTCCAGGGCATACATAGGTTGCAAGATTTAAGCAAGGAGAGGTTTATATGTTAGATATTATTACATTGTATGCCTGTGTGCAGCACTGAACAAAGCACAAGTCCATGCTGACCTTTTTAATGTTTTGCTCTTTCCTTTGAAGGTTGAACGAGCAGATGCTGGTTTACCCAGCGAAGCAAAAAGCTCCCCTCTTCCTGTCTTTAACTACGATGAAGTCACAAAGCACCGCTCTCTGGAAGATGGCATATGGGTCACTTATAAAGGAGGTGTTTATGACATCACTGAGTTTGTGGCGATGCACCCTGGTGGGAATAAAATCTTGCTAGCAGCAGGTGGTGCCCTTGAACCTTTTTGGGCCCTCTATGCTGTTCATGACCAGGAATATGTGCTGGAGATCCTCTCGCAGTATAAGGTTGGTAACCTCTGCCCCTTTTTTTCTTTTTTCTGATAAATGAAAACACTGTTAAAGACTTGAAATTTGCTTTTGCTTTTAAAACATGCAAGAAGGCTCATCATATGACAAAATAGATTTTAAATTATAACTGTGTGAACATGGTTGAATTTTTGGGAGTTTTCTACAAGTCCTGTTTTTACAGTTCAAAATTAAGCTTTTCCGTTTGGAGTCAGATGCAGAATTTAGCACCATTACTCAGGTGAAACAGGTCCTGGAAAAACATAGGCTGAAAGGCCACTCAGAGAGGAAGAAGCCATTACTCCAAAACCACCATTAAAGGATAGGTTAGAGTTTGGAAATGCTCTCAGGTTCTCTGATATTTGTGTGGACATGCTGTATGGTCATGAGACTAGACTTGTAGCTTTAAGCTGGCTGGATTCCTGCCACTGGCCAAGAGTTGAGGTTTTTACACAAACCCTGAAGTGTTATTCCAAAAAAAAAATCTTGATAAATTGTTTGGACCACTTTCATGTTGGAATACAGAATTGTGTTAAACTATCACCTCTTATGAGGGCTGCTTGAACACCAGTTTCACACTGAGGTGAATTTAGCATCAGCATGGCCCGTTAGTGAAGAGGGACCTACTCCAAATTTAACCTTGAAATTTGCAGTTAACCTCACTGACAGTTCAGCATCTACTCCCTAGGCGCTTAGATGGATGAAAAATGTCGAAGTTTCTCACCCGAATAACTAGAAAAATCGTTTGAAGGAGTTGAAGCTCTAGCAAAGAGCTTCTGCCACTGTTTGACACGCAGTAGAGGAGGATGCTGACCCTGAGCGTACCTCTGAACTTGTTTGTATTTTTACTTTTGCTTTATCTGTTTCTTAAAAAGCGGTTTTAAATGTTGCCACATTCTTTTGGTTGAGCTGTACTTTATGTTGGAGGATCTTTGGTATTTACTCTAACTCTAAATCTCTCTGTTTGTGGTTAATCTGAAGGTTGGCGAGCTGAGTGTGGAGGACCAGAAGAAGCAGGAGGACACCAAGGCCTCAGACCCCTACGCCTCTGACCCTGAGCGCCACCCTGTGCTTCGAGTTAACTGCAAAAAGCCCTTCAATGCCGAGCCTCCTTCAGAGATCCTGACAGAAAGCTACATCACTCCTCATGTGTTTTTCTTCAAAAGAAACCACCTTCCTGTTCCTCAGGTTGACCCGGCTTCATATCGCCTCCAAGTGGAGGGCCTGCCAGGAGGAGAGCTCTCTCTGTCTTTAGAGGACTTGAAGACGCAATTTCCCAAGCACACCGTTACCGCTGCAATGCAGTGTGCAGGAAACCGCCGCAGCGATATGAATAACATAAAGGAGGTGCAAGGACTGAACTGGGGCGTATCTGCCATAGGGAACGCTAAATGGGGCGGCACAAGGCTCAGAGATGTGCTCCTGGCTGCGGGGTTTGGGCCAGAAGTGGCCAATTGGGCTCGCCATGTCCACTTTGAAGGACTGGATAAAGATGTGACGGGGACAGCATACGGTACCTCCATCCCTATCAGTAAGGCCATCAGTGAGGAGGGCGATGTGCTCTTGGCTTATGAAATGAACGGTGAGGATCTTCCCCCTGATCATGGCTTCCCGTTGCGCGTCGTGGTACCGGGCGTAGTGGGAGCACGCAACGTGAAGTGGCTGGGGCGGATTGTGATCAGCGCAGAGGAAAGCGCCAGCCACTGGCAGCAGCACGACTATAAAGGTTTTTCTCCTGGGACGGACTGGAGCAAGGTTGACCCCAAATCCGCTCCGGCCATCCAGGAGCTTCCCATTCAGTCCGCCATTACCGTCCCGGCAGACGGAGCTGTGATCGACCGCAGCGAGGAAACGCTCACCGTTAAAGGCTATGCATGGAGCGGCGGCGGCAGAGAGGTGGTGCGTGTGGATGTGTCCCTGGATGGAGGGAACACATGGCAGGTGGCCCAGCTGAGGAATGGGGACGAAGGGGAGACTACTGAGCCGTCACCTCCTCCTGGTCGAGCCTGGGCCTGGAAGCTGTGGGAGCTGACGGCTCCTCTCCCGCCACAGGCTGAGGAGCTAGAGATTATCTGCAAGGCGGTGGATAACAGCTACAACGTGCAGCCAGACACCATCCTGCCCATCTGGAACTTGAGAGGACTGTTGAACAATGCCTGGCACAGAGTGAAGGTCAGAGTCAGAGAAGATTAATGGGAGGGACAGGTTCAGTGGTTCAGATCCATAACTGAGTCACCATGAGGGAACTGTGTTTACAGAGTGACTCAGTGATAAACAGGAAGAGGAATTGCTGCGTATAAAACATTTATGTGGTGTTTCCTAGAATATAACAGAAGAAACTGAAGCATCTCAACCGTATGGGATGTCACTTGAATTTTAGAGGTGATGTAGGGAAGGGAGGGGCGTCCAGCTTTTCCTGATTAACACTGATGTTCAGGTCTCTGAAGTCTGAACCATAGGTTTAGATTCTCTTCAACTAAAGGAAGGTTCCTGGATAAAAGTAGCCTCGACTTAAATGAATGTTTGTTGGTTCATGCACTGATCGATGAACTCAGCATTCTGTGTAACATTTCTCTGAAGCTAAGTTTTAGAGTATTTTTTTCTGCTTGTTTGAAGAAAGTAATGGCATCAGGCAACCTGTAGCCTGTGGAGTCCTTTTTAGGGAGATGGTCCTTTTAAACAAATAAAGCACATAATGAAAGAATAAGGAAGAAAAATATCACTTGTAGAAATTTATTTGGGAGTTATTTGCTGATTTTGGAAATCAATTATTTACTAATGCCTTTCTTTGTAATTTAAACTTTTTTGATCTCACATTGGAGAAATTTACCACTTCATTTAACCCATCCCCTTGAGGAGCAGTGGGCTGCCATCGTGAGGCGCCTTGGGAGCAAAAACAGGGGGTTAAGGGTCTTGCTCAGAGACCCAGAGTGGCAGTCTGTGGGAGTGGGTTTCTCAGGACTCCATGCCCTATGCCCTAACCACTAGGCCGCCACTAAATGCTTACCTCATTTATTCCTCATTATAACTCTTGTTCCAAAGAGAAGCTATATAGGAGCTATAGGTTACAAACACCTGTTATAGACACCATAGAGAACTGTGAGAGCTACTGGTTTTAAAGTGTTTTAAATAAACAGAAGAAAAAAAAACAGTAAATTGATTAATGGAAAATTGGCTGATTCTAGTCTTTAGTCTGATTACTGGATCTAAAGAAGTTTTAATTTCATAGTTTTATAATCTATAGAGAACCTTTTTTTGTAAATGAACACAAAATCTGTAAACAATTAGTTAAATCTCTTAAAACAGGAAGGTTATAGAGACATTTGATGTTATTGGGAGATGGATTGTGACTTCTTGAAAAGCTTCATATCTTTTTTTTTCACATCTTTTTTTCAGAATTTTCTACTTTAGCTTGAACTTTGCGATATTCATTTTAATGAGAATCAAGAAATTATGTGAAAAAACAAGTTGTAACCAGGTGAAAACATTCAACCCGACCATTGCCGCACAGCGCCTTCCTGCAATAAAGCAGTGATGGAAACGTCTCGAGCAGAAGGTCGTCCTAAAGGGTCGACTTTTGGAGACTCGACAAACCAAAACACTTTTAGAAAGCTCCTTATTGTAATTCAGTCGCCCTGTAATTCCCACACAGGCAGTTTGAGAAGACTGCTTGTTAATAGTATAACTTTATAGACTAGGATTGTAGCATATTCTAATAGATAGACCACTTTTTGTAGGCTAAATGTAGGTTGTTCTTTGAGCAACTGTCTGTCATCAGATTAGGCTTTCTTTATGTGAGTCAGCAGTGCAGCAGCTGTGTCAATGAGAGTGAGAGTTGCATTAAAGCGGCGTCTCTGTTCCTCGAAGGACAAAACTGGATAAGTCTGTCTACAATAATGTATCCTAAACATCTTCTCTGGCCTTAAAATGTCCTAAAAAAACTGGAACATGTAGTGGGTGGACAGCAAGTTAAAATATAGATCTTAATTCAGATTGTAGCTGCATTCAAACACTCATTCATTTAACTCAAACACACTGACAGCAGTCCTAGCTAATTGTTGTAACTAAACCTACATTTAGAAAAGAGCCTCCTGAAATGTCAGCGTTTTTTTTTACTGAAAAGGGGAAAATAGAAATAAAAAATGAGCTGCTAAGAAAGCTGTTTTCTCTTCTCAAACAGTAGTAGAGCCCTCATTTGTCCTGATGTTTACTAATTTCTCAAATCATCTGTCCTCACTATGACATAAACTGTGCTGTCCTTTTGCATTTGGTTGTTTCCTCCCTTAAATTAATTGCATCGTTTGAGGTTATGGAAGCTAAAACACCTTTAATGTGGGGCTGAAACAATCAGATGAATCAATTATTTAACTAATAACCATCTTAATAGGCTTAATCTGTAACTGGAAAGATTCTAGAAAATGCAGGACATGAAAGAACCCACAGAGCAATAATTAAACCAAAAATATCAAATGTTTTGCTGTGTAAAACAAAATCGATTCTGTTCAATTTCACCACATTTCATTAGACAATATTTGCATAGCTTCAAAATACAAGTATAATGATATTTCTTTAGATGATATTGATTTTAAATGTAATTGCTAATTGACCTTAAATGTAAAAAAATATATATTATTATATATATATTTACGGGAAAACCTCTTATTTCATTGCCTTAGTTTTATATAATTCTGTAACCCTCAGCAGCTGGTTGGCAACAACATCTTGTGAGGTTTTCCAGAGCTAAATTATATTCTTTTAAAAATTACATATTGTATTAATCCTATGCATGGTGGTACGGATCATATCACCAAATTCTCCTCAATTCAAACACATAATTTTGCATTTAAGACTTAAAAATCTTGTCTATGAAAATATTGTATACAGAACTCCAGGATTTGTAGTGTTAACCAAACTGAGTTTTTTTGGAATAAATGAGATTGTATCTAACACCTCTTTTTAAGAGGGTAGCTGGTTTTTATGGAGCTGTAAATATTTAGATAATTTTTGTTAAATCATACGGTGTGTAACTGGTGTCCTGCTGAGTTGTCGTATTCAGTGGCATTTTAAAATGCTCTCTGTGCATTTTCAATTCTAGTATACTGGAAATGATGCAGACTTCTGATTTTACTCACTCTTTCTGCTGATTTGGTTGCTGCTTAGTGTGAACCCTGTCAAAGTGCCAGTGCAACACCGCACTTTTTGGATTCACTCGTTTTGTCATTACACCAACTGCAGAAATGTACTGGGTGCATTTTGTTTTTCACAATATCTCAAAGAGAAAATGGAGTTAATTTTTCCTTTTATACACTGATTTATACAGGAAATCCAGTTTAAGTTATTAATCTTTTTATGCCCAACAAAACGTTATTCCTCTGAGTACATGTTTACAGTAAAATGTCTGAATTTTGTTATTTATGTCATTAAAAACTCCCATGTCATTTGTTTCTGTACATCTGGAAAAATAATAAATTGAATTTTAAAACATAAACGGTCTTTTAAGTGTAGTTTTATGGTTGCGAAGAGGTAAGAAGCAAAAGTTTTCATAACTCATGAGATTTCATGAATCAGACATGACCAGTAACTGAGGAGGTAGTTTTGCTTTTTGGCCTGAATGTGATTCAGTCCAGATGTTGCTTCTGTGACTGGTAGAGACTTAAAAAATGCAATTTATCATTAAACATTTAGGAAGTTCTGTGATGTTTCTTTGCCTGACTCATAAAGAAGCAATGTTTTCGATGTTCTGCAGATAAACCAGATGAGTGATTCTGTTATGCAGCACAGTGTGGTCAAACTCTACTCCCTTATGACTGGAGTAGAAAGGGAGAGATGCTTTAAAGTAATAAGCAGAAAATCTGCATGAAAATAGATGCTTTTATGTAAACTTTCCTGGAGAAAAAACTTTGCTTCAACATCTCACTATTTTTTTATTGCCTCTTTTCTGCCATTAAAAGACAAATGCAGGAAATATAAAACTGACTCATCACTAAATTAAACAAATGTGTCACTTTAGTGGTAAATTCAAACTTGTAAATGCTTTGAGTGACGCAAGTTGTTACATACAAGTGTACAAGTAAATTAATAGCAGGAAAGGGGGAAGCTCCCTTAATAAAACTCAAAATTAATTTCATTAAAGGAAAGTGGGAATTAAGGTGAATTAACAAAACCTAAAACTGACATTTAGAAATGGAAATAGGCATTTAAAGATAGGGGAGTATAGAAGGGATCTTATCCCTATTCATTGTAGAAGTTTCAATAGTCTAAGTGCATTAAAACTCACTTCAATAGCCCCAAATGTCCACATGATTTTAATATATCTCTAGTTTAACAAAACCAAGGATTAAAATAGTCAAAAAAAAAAGAATATTATACAATAATTTTAATCAATAATAAAATTTGTATCAATAAACAAACTCACTGTTTAGACATAAAATACATAAGCTGGTTTGTGTTAGCAGTTTGGATGCTTGCTAATTTCTTTCTTTATCACAAATGAGGCTGTCGTTTTGGGTTTAGACTCTTATGTTTTTAAATGTAAACAAAACAAAAATTGCAATCTAAATAAGTCCCTTTTTCTTGAAATAAGTTCATTTTTGTCTTTAATTTAGCATGTGACACTGCCAATTGAACAGGACAATTTACACTTAATATAAGAAAAAACAATTGCATTATCTTTATGAAAGTGCAAATTATCTACTTATCTTATTTTAACAGAAAAAAAAATACTCATTCCATAGACAAATTATCTTATTCAACTACTCAAATTAAGGGTATGTAATTTAAGACATTTTTACTTAATTCTAGGTCATTTATGCAGTGTACCTAATGGGCATTTGATCAAATGTAGCTACAACATTTTTCTGTGCATTATTTTACACTTTTTTTAAAGAACTTTTAATTCCAGTTAGTGAGATTATCTGATTTTCTGATGACTTCCTGTTATTTAGAAAAATAACCTGAAATTTGATACTTGCTGGTAAAGCAGATGAGTGCAAAAAGATGAGCAGGAAGCTGGTGTCACAATGACAAACAGGAAACATAAAGCTGACTGTTCTCCAAGTCAGACAAATGGTTTATTACTGTGGTCAGGACAAAGCTGGAAATGGTTTTTCAGGGAGTTTCAATTTTATTCACTAATTTAGAAGGATTGCAAAAGAGTTGAAGATTATATTCATCTTCATAACTTCAACCAATTCATTTGTATACATCTCTTGTTGATCTTGTCCCCATCTCATGGTTTTCTGCGTGTAGTTGCTATTCTTAAAATGACTAAATATTGTTTTCTGCTTTCTATTGCCTTAAAAAGGCCATGGTCTGTCTGCCTGGTGAATGTCTGTCTCTCCTGAAATGTTCTTTCCTTTTTTTTGTTTCCTGCAGCCATTGAAACAAATAGCTGAACTGTTGCCTTATGCCTTCCTTATTTGATGTCACTGGATACATGCGCATCAAGCTTTTTTTTTTGCAGGGAAGGTTTTTAAATTGATTAAATAGTAATTTAAACATAAATAGCCAAACAACCTTAAAGATCATAGCACATTCTATCTAAAGTGAAATTAATTGATTTCACTTAAAAGCTATATATAGGTAATTTCAAGAAGAGACGTCATGATCGTTAATTTACACAGATGCTCTGCATCCAGTCTGTCTTAGCAAAACCCAGGAAAGCATGAAAAAAATTGTAAGAAAATGATTTTTTATAACTAGCATTCTCATTAAACATTTTCACAAATAAAAAAACCCATTACATTTTAAATAAGGTAAATGATATGTTATTTGTCTCATTTATTATACATAAGGCATTTCCATGCAGTTTTCTGTTCACTACTTGTCTGATTGTAAGGTAGGTATGAGGTTATTCTTCAACAAAAATATTACAATGATGATATGACAGGTCTCTGAAACTCATGTATCAAATATGATACACTGGATGTTAAAAGGTCGAGCTGTTTTCCAAGTGATGGACAAATATGTCATCAGAAACATACTGAAAATATGGCTATGATTTAAACAAATGTTTGTTTTTATTAGTACAGAGGGAACAGATAATTTTTTTCATATGTTGACAAACATGAAAACTAATAATTCTACTTTATAATAATGAGCAGTTTTGTGTTGGCCTATTTTTTAAAATAAACATAATTTTGTGGTAATAACTGAGACTGTAAGTTTTTTCCCAAAATTCTGCTGTTTTAGGGTTTACCAAAAGTTTGAAATAGATTATCCTCTGCACTAACTGCAGACATATATAATGTAAGGATTTCGTTGTTTTCATGACCTTGGCCAGAATCCATTATTGCGAAACTTAAATACTACATGGGAAAAGTCTTTTCCTTTCTGTGTGGTGGCAAATTCACGTTAAGTGCAGTATCTCCACCTTAAAGTGAGAAATTTTGTATCTTAAATGCAAGAAGTTTGCATTTAAGAAAATGTTAAACACTGTAATTATATTTCTAATGAAATGAATGTTCAAGCCCTTTTAGTAACATAAAAAATGCAATAAGGTATGAAGAGGGAGGAAATTTAATATAGTTCATGAAAAACATTTTTGGTAAAAAGCCAAGGAATCCTAGTACATCATGTAGCATTTACCAGCTGCACTGTAAAGTGTAGATTGAGACAACAATGCCAAATACTTTTATTTCAAAGTATGTCTTTGCACACTTTGCAATAAGTGCTTTAGAGTAGAAAAGCTTTATAAAAGAAGGAACTTCATTACTGCTTCCTTGTCAACAGGAGAAATAACAGCAACGTTTTGACCCTAAATATTTGTTGGAACAGGAATGTACAGATAGAAGGTTTTTCCTACCCTGTGATTTAGATCATTATCATCATTATCCAGAGATACACAGGCTGCCAGGACAACGGGAAATAAACAAAGTACCTGTGATCCTGATGATTACTTTCCTTTTATATTTACCTCATATTTCAGAAATAGCTTCTCTCACTTCTCTAAGGTTAAACTGGGCTTTACTAAAGCTGCTAACCTATGAGTGGACTCTAAACTTTTGGGTTAAAAGCTCCAGATCCTCCCCAAACAGCTGTACAGTTTCACTGCACATATGGTGGCTGAGGTCAGCTGGCTGCTCGTTGTAATTCTCATTCTTCTGAGGTGGATCATCAGAGCCGCGGGGCTGACTCATGCCCGACTGAGTTAAAACTGCTGGAGCATCCAGGAACACAAAGAGTCTGCTGTTAGACTCTGAACACTTCTCACACTGTAAAATACCAGCTGTGGATGAAAAGTGGACAATGGGGCTCACAGGGCTTCTGTTGCTGCTGGTGCTCAGCCTCAGAGCTGCAGTATGTGCCCCGGTGGAATGGACAGAGTTAAATGAAGCCAAGGTAAGATTTTTTACCTTTAAAAAAAAATAAAATTAAGAAATCACTGCAGGTAAATAAATATATATTTTTACTTTTACATGCAAATACAGACGTATTTGAAGAAGTATGGCTACTTGAATGATCCAGCTGATCCACAGGACCTTTCCTACCTAGAGGAGGTCATTGAAGCACTGAGGTAACAGTAATGTTGGATTTTACTAAGAAAATTGGACAGATGTTTAACAGACAGTAGTTGTTATAATCAAACCATGCTCAAGGGAAAGAATTTTTATTTTTTTTTAATCAGTTTTCAGATGTATAATTATCTTAAATCTGGTCAGAGTCTTCCAGAGGGTGAATGATCTCTCTCCCACTGGAGAGTTAGATGAAGCCACCCTGGGTGTGATGAGACAGCCCCGCTGCGGCCTGGAGGATCCATTTAATAAGAAATTCTTCAAGTATAAAGTTATGGGTGAGTCAGAACATTTACAAAATATTGTTTTAGTTTAGTCTGAAAACTTCTGAATGTTTTTTTCTTAATTTCCATTCAACCAGCCATCTATGTGAGAGGTTGATGTTTAAGGACATTGTTAAGCTGTAAAAAGTGTTCAATCTTTTTCACATTTTGTCAAGTTTCAGCTTCGAGCTTTAGAGTATTTTACTATGGTTTCATTTTTTTTTATCTAACCTTTATTTAGACAGAAACATCCCATTGAGACTACTAATCTTAACAGCTCAGTACATTACAGACAATTGTACAACAATTTCAGTAAAAACATTTCATTTCCAAACCTTTCAGCAAAACTTTAAACTGGCCTATTGAAACCAGTTCCTTAAATTTCCAGTCTTTTTGTAAATCGTTCCATGTTGTTGAGGCAGAATACCAAAATGCCACCATACCAGCATTACAGCGGACATTTGGTACAAACAGTAGCGGTGATTCTTGTAAAGAATATATCTTTCGGCCGCTTTTGGCTCAATATATTACCACAGATATGAGGAGAATACTTGTATAAATGAACACATACCAATGAGAAAGTCAGTGCTGGCCAGTCCACATGTTTGTAAAGTGGTGTGTGCGAGGCTTACAGTTTGTGATAAACTTCAGTGTGGCATGATAAACAGAGTCCAGTAGTTTCATTTCTTGAGTCGGGGCATTCATATAAATGAGGTCACCATAATTCAGAATGTTGCAGCAACAACATTCTCTTTTGCATTGATGGAAAAACAGCCCATTTTTGAAGTAAAAGCTTTTCAGTTTTTCCATCTTTTCTAAACAAACGTTCAATATGTCCTTTAAAAATATGATTGTCGTCAATTAAAATCCCTAGATTCTTAAAATATTGCATATTGCAATATTAAAAAATTTGACTTCTGCCCTTTGAAGTGATGATTGGTGGAATTATCTCTAGATTACTCTTTGTTTGTGAGAAGAAAAAGCCATGTGTATGATAGACAAAAGCAAAGTAATCTATATCGGACACATGGTTATAGTGAAAGTGAAAAGTGTGCTTTTTATTTTGTCCTCTTTAATGAAGAGACTTATGGTAACTCTGGGGGAGCTGTAGAGATGCACAGTATACAAGCTGCAAACAAACAATTAGTTAAAGAGGTGTGCTGGTTGGATGAGACAAAGGTTGCACTTTTTAGGCTGAATCCACAATAAACGAATGGCAAGATCATGCTATGGAGATGCATTTCTTGAGCAGAGACAGTGAAGCAGAACTCTGGTGAAAACCTGTCAGTTGCATTTACCTTGTGAACGGGCTATAGCTTCACAATCCAGCAGGGAATAAAGATAAACCTACAGTAAGGGCAACAGTAGAAAGGTTTTCAAAGCATATTAAACAGCATCTTGGTCCAGTCAACATCCAGATCATTCAGTCTGAGGTAAGACCTAAAAACAGATACTGTCCATCGACTCAGACTGAGCTGGAGCTATTTTAAAATGGAAACAAAATGTTTAGATGTGCAAAGCTGGTTTTAAAACACATATCTTATAGACAGGTAATAATACTTTTGAAAGCCCCTCTGGAAAGATTAGAAAGATTACTTCAAGTTTTGATGCCATCTCTTCAATGATGCTTTAAATAGATCTAGAACGGTGGCTTACAGTAAAAAGAAAAAACTTCTATTCATCTCAGGTCGCTGGAGGAAAAAGACTCTCACCTACCGGATCTACAATTACACACCTGACATGTTGAAGTCGGAGGTCAAAGCAGCGATCCGTTCTGCCTTTAAGTACTGGAGTGATGTGGCAGACCTGACATTCCGAGAGGTTGATTACAGCAGAGCCGACATAAGGATCTCGTTTCATAAGAAAGACAGCTTTTGCTCTGTCCCATTTGATGGCCGGGGTTTGTTCCCTTTCTAAATCCATTCAGTGTTTTCCATACAAATCACTAAACTAGATTGTAATCCATACTGCGTCTGTATACTCCCTGCAGGTCACGTACTTGCTCACGCAGAGTCACCAGAATCTGGTATTGTCCATTTCGACGAGGATGAATTCTGGACAGAGGGATCATATTATGGCACTAATCTGCGTATTGTAGCAGCCCATGAAATAGGACATGCTCTTGGTCTGGGTCATTCCCAGTTCAGGAGTGCCCTGATGGCACCAGTTTACACTGGTTACCGTGTCAACTTCAGGCTACATTCAGATGATGTCAAAGGCATTCAGGCACTATACGGTAAGTGTAGTGAGAAGGAAACAGGTTTGGTTCTTGATAATCGTTACAGTTTTGACAACTTATCTTAAACTTAATATTACAAAAGCTGTACCCTTTATATCATTTTCCAACAGAATAGTTCTAAACAAGTCAATAACATATTTACCAATTACAACTACAGAACTGATTTACAGTTCATTAAATTGTCAGAGTACAATTCTTGCTATATATTAGATACGGTACTTTGGATTTGTATCCCGGACTAGCCCCCAACTTCCCGACTTTCCTAAGGTAGAGATGGTTCATAACAGAAACCGTTTCAAAGAACTCTTGTTACAAAGGGACCAATGTTTGCCTTGAATTCCATTGAACATATCATTTCAAATCTATATTTTGCTTTTTCTTAGTTCATCTTTTTTTTATTAAATTAATTTCATAAATCAGCCACATATTAAAGTTAAAAATTAGGGAAAGTCACATTTTAGTACAGCCTTTTTTTATTTGGACTAGAAAAGCAACATATATAGAGCATGCATCTGTTTATCTTAGTAACAAGCATGCATCTGTTTATTATGGGTGAGAGATATTAGAAAAGGAAAAATATTAATGATTCTTCTAACTTTAGATTTCAATTTTCTCTCCAGGCAAGCCTGTCAGCACCACAACAGCCATAACGTCCTCTCTGGACAGCTTGTTTCCCACTGAAAGCAGCTCTGGACCTGCAATAATTCCAGATCCTTGCACTGCGGACTTGGATGCCATCATGTTAGGTAATTCCACTTATTCATTGACATAAGATAAAAACACTAACATATATTTAAATCTGATAAAACATCTTGAAGTAAACACCATTATAACTAATCATGACAGAGCAAAGCTGACCATAAAATTGATTATCTACAAAAAAATTAAATGGTATCAAAATCTCTTTGTTTAGGTCCTTGGGACAAAACATTTGCCTTTAGTGGGGATTATGTGTGGACTATCTCTGATATGGGCCACAACACTCCGATAAAGATCAGCAGACTATGGAGGGAACTCCCTGGAAACTTGAACGCAGCTGTCCACTCGCAAAGAACAAACAAGACATACTTTTTTAAAGGTACAACCATTTTTGATATATAACACAGAGCTTCTGCGGGATTTCTTCTGCTCTACAGCTGCTGCTTCTAAACATTAAACGTCTGGAATCTTTCTGGTCACAGGTAGTAAAGTATGGAGGTACACAAGGTTCATGCTTGACTACGGCTACCCCAAACAGGTCACACGGATCCCTTCTAACATTGACGCAGCCTTATACCTCCAGATTAACAAGAAGCTCGTGTTCATAAAGGTAAAAAAAAAAAAAAAACACAAGGAAAGCAAATGCATGTCAATAAAGCATTGTCATCAAATAAATTATTAAATGAAGCTGTTTGTATGGAAATCATATAAGTCAGAGTTTGTTGGTAAGTGTCCTTTGATTTTTTTTTTTTGGGGGGGGATAATTATTCCTCACAGTTAATTCAAATTCAAAATAATGTTTTTTTAATTGCACAAAATCAACTATTTATTTCTCAAAATACAGGCTGTCTGAGATACATGCCTATATACTAACAATATATGCACGCAAAGCTTAGTCAGCACTCCTTTAGGTGCCCCAAAGCTCACCTTACTCCAGGCCAAACACTGTACCTGGTTCAGCAGCAGCTTAACACCAGGAAGGGACAGTTTTAGCCTATATCCTGGCATATTCTGGATATGCCAGGATATAGGATCTTCAAGCATCTTGCTTTAACTCATTGTGCTCTATATAAGCTACTGGAACCAGAACTTCCCTGAAGGAGTAATCCCAAGGGATAAACAAAGTTGAGTCTAAGTCAGTGCATGCTGGGTCTCAAAGCACTGACTCCAGTCAAAGGTCCACATCTTGTGAAACACCCACAAACTTTTGGATGGGCTTTGCATACTGTCCTAACAAGGCTAGGGATTCACGGATCCACATTTTTTACTTCTGATCTGATTCCAACACTCTAATCTATTCAAACCACTGAAGAAATGTTCTAATTTTAAGACAATCAAAATCTCATAATTTATTAGCTGTGAGCCATTATCATCAAACAATAAACTATTCCTATTCCTCAATGCATCTGCAATCAGCTTTCACAATCACATTTATTTTATGCCTTTAATCCTTCGCCTTTTTTCTATGCAGGGATCAGAGCACTGGCAGTTCGATGAGTTGAAATACAGTTCAACTTTCTACCCTAAACCCCTAAGCATGCTCATCAGCGGGGTGCCCTCCTCTCCTGACGCCGCCTTCACCTGGACCAACGGCAAGATCTTCTTCTTCAAGGGAGACGAGTACTGGAGAGTGAACAAGCTGCTGAAAGTAGACAGAGGATATCCGCTGAGCAAGAAGGAGAGATGGATGAGATGTTAGGGACTAACCACCAGGGGGCAGCAGGAGCCAAAGGAAGGGATTCTGGCTCCTATCAGAGGGCATTGAAATAAACCTCAGTATTAGAATTAAATTGTAAATTTGAGATAAACAATGAACGAACTTGTTTAATTTCACTGGATTTTATTACCTTTCAGCTCCTTTAGGTTTCTCTTTGTAAAGCTGAGTCTCTGCTGGCCGATGAATTGTGTAAACTTCAGTATGATTTTGGAGAGAAATCAAGGCCATCTGTTTTTCTTTTCACATATGTGTTGAATTATATGTTCCAACACTTTAAGTAAGATGTAATGTACTAGCAGGAGTGTAAACTTTCTGTTTACTCTTTCTTGCATGTTGTAAATGTCCACAAATAGCAAAAATGTAAGATTTTGTAAAATAAAGACATTGTCTTGTGAACAATACAAACTGTTTTCAGTTCTGTCAGCAGAAGCTGCTTCATAATAAAAAAAAAAAATCAAGACAACCAGTGATGAAAGAACGCTCTGTCCTGCATTGTGCTGGCTACAAAAAAACAGAAGAAAAAATTTGGAGGCACCATGGTAACTCCAACCAATAGCAGGGTAGGAAATCCTTCCCATGACCTCTTTATTGCTGATGAAAAACCCAGGACGTAATGCAGCTTGAGTTGCTAAGAGCCGGAGGAGACAAACAGAGCCGCATGTCTGAGACAATGAGGATTAAAAACTGTTTTTATTAAAATCTGTGAAAACTCTATTAACAGGTATTTACACATTCTAGCAACAAGAGTGCCGTTTTTTTAAAACTGCATCAATAAATGAAAAATAAACAGACATGAAAAAAACTAAAAACAAAATGACAAACATGCTGGGTTTTGTCTTTTAAAAAAAAAAAAACACTGATAGAAGGCCATCACATAAATTATGTTTAACAAAACATCAGCATAAGTTCTTCAGACCAGTTTTATGGTGTAAAAATCCAAATGTGCTGCAGCAGGTCCTTAAAGGTCCAACGAAAAACTGTCAAGAAAATCTTTCGTGTACTGCTCCACATTTTCAGTTGCCAAGAATTCACATCATATCTTGCTTTCATCCACGATCCGTATAAAAACAGATGAACCAATCCATTGACAAGAGATCAGAAATCAGCTTATTTTCCCTCTCTAATCTCCAATCAGCAGATTAAATTACAGACAAGATTTTTTTTCACTCAGATTTATCACATGCATTAAAACTAAGAACCCTGACCCTTTCCAGCTTCGTGGAAACAAGATGTTTATGCAGCGATTTAATGCAGATGATCACGCTAATACATTTTTAGCACTGAATTAGTGAAGCTCCAGTCAACTGCCTGTATTTCTATTATTTCCCTTAATCAGCTCTAATCTGTGATCCACAGGACGGATACTGTGCTGCAGAGGTGAGATGTAGAAATAAGGATATTCTGGTATCTTCTTCATTTTCCATTTAATTCAAAACTAGAACCCCTGTTAGGGAACCTGCAGCACAGTTTCATTTTCCTTTATAGATAAAACTCACCCCAATCGAACCTCAAAGTGATAATGACGGAAAAAAAGCCGGATTGCATTTCTACAAAATAAAAAGAAACACAAAATCCAACTTGTTTCTTCATCAACTAGAATGTAAGGCACGTAATACTAAGCTCTTCACGGTAATGACTAACTTCTGAAGAACAGGAACTAAATGCAGACACATTTGTTTCTGAGGCTTCCTGCTTTACATTAAATACACACAAATAGAAATGAAAAACTTTTTTTCTGTTAGTGTCTGTTTTCTATTGCAGCTCTGACAAACACACAGTGGTGATAGTGGTTTTAAGAACATCAAATCAAAGTTTGACGCTTGTTCAAGCAATCAGTGGCATTTTCTTTTAAGACATACACACACACATACATCCTCACTACCGGATCTACTTCACAGCTATGAAACTCTAGGTTGACACGTTCTGCTCTACGTTAACCAAGGGAAACTTCCTGCTAATGATACCTTCCCTCGGGAAGCAGGAAGTCCTGCCTCGTCTCTGACTCGCTCAGACCCTGACGACCGGAGTTGTGGCTGTGAGGGGAACCATGGAGCCGGTCTCGCAGTCCATGTCCATCATGGTCTGGTTTGTGGTGCCAAGGCTGCTAAGGGAAGTACCTGTTCCCATCTGCCGGTCCCGCAGACTTTGTAGGTAGCTCTGAACAGAGGATAGACACAAAAATAGATGAGTTATGTAAAAATAAGTGGTTACCAGGTAGAAAACATTTCCCTCGCATGAAGACTTCTTTTCAGAATCGCAAACTGAACCAATGAGGATTTTTTTTTTTTTAAAGTCACTACAGCACACGCCTTGTTGGGAGACACTGACCGGTGCCAGTAGATCCCCAGCGTAACGTTTCACTGGGGTGGGTTTACGACGGTATGTGCCTTCCTGCCCACCTGCCTGCTGTCGCTTCTTGGCGTCCTTCTCTCGAATCCGCATCAGCTGCACCCGCTTCTGTCTCCGGCTGATGACAACTGCAAGAGCAATTTGAAACCAGCCTTTAGAAACCACTCATGTTTGCTAAACACCAACATGACAATTATACAGATACTTTCAGTTTGAGCTCAACAAAACACAAGTAAACTTTTGCTTTATAATTTCCTTGTTATTTTTGCTTTGGGGTGATTTATGTTAATTCCTTTGATCACTTGAGGGTTTCTCCATTTTGAATGGCTATAAGTCATATGATCTTATCCTCCACACTAAAGATCATTTATCCTGTAATGGAAAAAAACAGCTTCATGTTCTTGGGTATTAAATGGGCTTTACCCTCAGGCTCTCTAGTACAAAGTTTCTCTTATTTCCACTGGAGCCCTTGTGAGCTTAGCCAAAAAGTATTCTGTCTCCATTAAGATATTTCCAATTAAGGTTTTGAGCTACAAGTTAATGGTTATTGATATAAATTCAATTCAAGCATAGCCACAGTCTGATTTACATTGCTTAACCCCAGAGGGCTTTAAGGACAATTTCTGCCTGAAATAACATATCTGATTAAATCAAATGTCCAAAGTTATATAGTGGAAATGTCAAACAATATATGTATTTCTATGATCCAAAGTCATAAATCATTTTTTTTTTTTTTTAAATAGAACCACTATTTAAAGTGTCATGATTTCTGATTGATCAAAGCAGTATCAAAGCAATAAACTACAATTTTCAAATCTGACCATTTTTTTTTTTAAACAAACAGTAAAACACAATGAAACCCCATTTGAAACTCTGAAGGAAGCCTCAAAATGTATAGAACCACACCTTGACAATGACAGCAGCAAATCTGGAGTGGATCGGCTCAAGCATATTTGTTCACAGGGGTTTTAGTGGATAGTGAGGCAGGCAGACCTTTCATTTTGGCACAGATCTGCTAAAAGTGTCCAAAACGTTCTAAAAAGACTTTTTACAAAAAAAAAAAAAGGAATCTGGTATAATAAAAGTGCTGATTTCCATTGTAGAGCTACTTCTGCACATAAAAAAGTGTTTTTTCATAAGATTCCACTGTTTTAAAATTCACCTTTATAAACAGCATATCAATAAACTGAATAGAAAATTAGATGTATTCTATATTTTTTCAGATTACAAGATACTTAAGTCCAACTGTGCAACAAAAATAGCCAGAAAAAAGTATATAATGTTCTGCTGTAACAGTAAAGTGTATAATGTAAAAGTTTTACAAAGTTGACTAAATGACAAAAGGACTAGAGATAAACTAATAAAGGTTTTTTAAGGCCATTGCCAATTATTTTGAAATCAGTCTAACCCATCCCCTATGTGTGCTAGGATGATTCTTGGTGCCAATGTTGCATTTCTTGATAAAAATGACACCATTATAACAAATGTCACACAGGTCTGAATTTAAAATAAAAAAAAATATTCACAAATCAAACAAAAAATGTTAAAAAGCAATACAGAGTTATCTAATGATAATGCAACATGTGGACCAAAACACAAAACTGCACTCCTCTACTCGTTATCGTATTTAAAAATGTTCTTTTTTTACTTTTCTCATCTAAACCGGCGTTGGGCTGGATGTTGGTATCCACAACATTTATCTTGAATCTAACGCTTCAATTGTTTGCTAAGTCAGACCCATTTAACATAGTCGCGCCGGATGTCACATCCCGAACAGCACGGGAACTTCTGACCCCAGGTAAATGAAGGAAAATAGGCTGCAGGCTTATTGAGCCATTGGTGCTGAACTCCTGAGGTGTAAGTCTGTTCATCAAATTATGTTTTAATCATTAAGGGTCAGATAAAAAGACATTAAAGATGTTTTCCAGTAAAAACTTACGTAATGTCTCTTTAACAATGGATAGTGAATGGATGAAACGGCAATGCTTTTTATGTGATCTTAAGGCTGCTAAATATAGTAATAAATCTGTGAACAAATGCTGTTATTGGCCGATAACGATACTAGAAAAAAAACACTAATAGCGGTCAAAAATATTGGTCGGCCGATGTATCAGTCTATCTCACTGAAAGACCAGGCAGGAAAAAGCCTGAATTTAAACTATAACTGTAACCCTATTTTAACCTTTAGGTCAGCCGTAACAACAATCATGCTTGGTTAGGACATGAGAAGCTACATCCTTTCCTTTGCCAATATCCCACAGAATACCATGTGGCTCTGGATCTGAGTTCAGTACGATTATCATTTCAAATGAAATATATTTTCTATCAATATTGATACGGTGTCTATTGTGATATATGTTGATATTGATTTATTTCTCTGCCCTAATTTGAGTCCAAATCCGACATAAACAGCTCCAGGTTGGTAATAAGTCAACCATGAGTAGCACCACACTGTATACAGGGGTATCACAACAAACCCCTGAGATGTGAGCACTTTACTAGTTGGCGATTACCTTATTTTCACTTAAATCAGTTATAAAGAAAAGCTTTGAGCGATCTATAAATTAATTACATTTTTTTTTTGTTAATAGAAGTGGAACCTTTAGAAATAAAACTATGTGACAAGGATCCATGTGATGTTATATAAGATTACTGTGTTTTATCCTTACCCTCTGTGTGTGAAAAGCTGTCATCTGTCAGTTTCCACTGGATCAGTACTCCTATGATGCTGAGTGCAGGCCAGATGCCCAGGATGACCCAGCTGTACCAGCAGAGGGCTGGCCCTGGTATGAGGCGTAAGCAGTCATAGACGTGATTAGCTAGAACCAGCATCTCCACAAAGTAATCAGCACACACGGTCATGATAGCAGCGCCAAACACAGCCGTGGACAGTATTGTGAAGATCTTCTGCCACTGCAGGGTCAGGACGGCAAACACCATGCCTGTCCCCAGGAGGGCGCCCAGAGGCACCCACACCGTGTTAAGAGTGTAGAACTGGTGAGCGACCAGCAGGCCAGCAAGAGCCAGCAGGAGTCCCAACAGCAGGCCCGTCATGAAGAGGCCGACGCTTCGCACCAGCATGGTGACCAGGCCGCACAGGAGGCCGATGCCCAGGCCGATGCCTGCGCTAGCCTCCACGCTCAGCTGGGTGTCCAGGATGTGCTCCTTGTGGCACAGCAGGAAGATGATAACCGAGCCAAACATGAGACCAGACAGGAACATGACAGCTTTGAAACAGCGGTAACCTGAAGAAGGACGCACACACAAAAAAGAAAAGGAGGGAGCTTGAATGAGCAGAGCAGCTAAAGCTAATGCATAGATAGAACTACATAGAGTCTGACTTCTCACCAAAGAAACAGTAGATGATACCAAAAAGGCAGCACATCGAGCAGATGACTGTAGGGATTATATCATACTGTCTCTCGATTTCCAAACTACAGATGTCGACATTGGCTACGCCTGCCCCCCCGCCTCCAGGACTCATTGTGGTGGGATCACTCATTTCGGTTGAACGTTGGAGGCCTCGAGGCCAGCTGAAGTTCAGGAGGAGGCTAAAATTCAGCTGTTATCTCAAGTCCATCTGTGCAGGATCTGCAACTGTAAAAGAAGAGAAAGATGTCAGTGAAAAACCTAAAGCTAGGCTAATACTCGGGTTGCGCTGCTTTAAAGTCAACCTAAAGAATATTTCCAAGCAGTACATCTTCCAGAACACCCCCAATAGAAAAAACTAGTGTTGCACTGATACCAATATCAGTATCAGCCAGGGCCCCGATCCAGCACTAAAATGGTGGTATCGGTATCGGCAAGTTCTGACAAACAGGGAACCGATACCATTTTGGGAGCTAAAAGTTTATTCAACTATTGTCACCCATTTCAGCTAGGCAATAAAAAGTTCTACTGGATTCACTTTGTATTAGTCTTTTTCCTGCAACACAAAGGTAGGCAGCAGCTTGACAAAGCCATGATGGCAATTATTTTACATCCAAGTAGTATGCAGTTCTTCATATATACACACACATACACATACACACCAACTTCAAACAGATGGTATCGGCCGATACTGCACAGCCAGGTATTGGGTATCGGGGCCAAAAAATGGCACCAGCACAACACTACAAAAAAAACAAAAACAAAAAACAAACAAACAAAAAATACTGAGCATGATTCTGCCACTGCTGTGTTTCCCTTTTGAAATGGTGTGTCCAGGGTGAGGTACAGCACTTTGCTTATAATCCCGAAAGTGAAATTTGAGAGCGAAACCACAATGGAAGAAATGTTGCATGACTGTTTATTTAGAGCTTCCTGAAATGTTCATATTATTATTTTTTTTTTTATAACTCCTCCTTGCTTTAAACATCTGTAGACCTTCTCCTCTTTCCAATCTACTGCTGCTCTGTCTATCAGAGCCGTCACAGATAAAGCAAAGGTGCTATTAACAATTATTTGAAAAACTCAGCGGATAAGCTAAGTCAGGTCTGTGATTGTTTTTTTGTTGTTAATGTTAATGACATACTACATTTTCAATCTTGAATTATAAAGACAACTCCTATTTTAAAAAACAATTCACACTATTAACTTACTCTTTTACATTTTCCCAAAACTTTGCCCTTTTTCGTTATGATTTCTGCTTCAGAGGCCATCCACCCTCTATTTGTCTTGGAAAATTATATGACATTTAAGCCGTCAGGCCTACAGGGATCCATGGCTGGAGGCATATGGGTGGACTGCTCCTCATCTCCGAGGCTGCTGGCAGGCCGGCTGTATGAGCTCACCGCAGCTGGGATCAGATTACAACTTATTCCCGTTGTCCGCCTCAGACAAACACTCAGGAACAGTCACTTTTGTCTTTTGGGCGTAATAACATCCAGCTTCAGTCGTATTTGTCCTTTATAACACTGGTTTATTCTTACTTCAAACCTTTTCCAACATAAACATGATTTTATTTTATTTTTTGCAGAAAGAGGCCGCAATTGCTTTTGACATGTTTAGAGACACCAGCCCATGTAATTTGCGTGTCCTGCCCAGGAATGACTTTACTAGGAAAAAATGAGAACAGTGGAAAGTTCTCCTCTCCTTCTCAGTCAAACTCTACCTACTCTCTCCAGCCTTTATCTGTTATTGCAATTCAGCTTTGAAGGCAAAAAGGGAACTAATTACATGCATTTACAAAAAAAAAACTGGAAGGAAACACTTATAGACGCATAGTTAACCATTTAAAATGTATTGTGCAAGTTTCATAATAAAAAAAAGATTTTATTATTGAGGAAATGCAAAGAGAAAAACAAAAAAACAGTTAGGACTTTTAAATCAAGATTAGAGGATTTGTGATGGTTGGAGTCGAACACATTTCAGGAAATTGAAAAGAAACTTTCATTTTCTAACAGATGTGATATGTGACTGTTCATGTGGGAGCAAAGGGCTCTGCAACCCTGAATCTCTAGAGATAAAAAAATCTCTAGAGATAAGAAAAAGAAAGAAAAAAAGAAAAAAGAAAGCTGATATCAAACTTTTAATCTTCATGAAAAGAAACATGTTTTCTGAAAGTTCAAAATTAGAAATGAATTATGTAAAACCAAAATGTGACTGAAATGAATTGAGAAAAGATTGACTAAGGTAAAATAAATTCTATCCGTTAGATAGTTTTTCTTTTCCTTTTTTTTTTTTTTTACCTTTTCACCCGGCTGGATTTGATCCAGTCCTATATGACACCTGATATGAAAAACATGACTGATGGGGAAAAAAAGAGCTAACCTTTCTGTTAAGGTGACGTTTCTCATCTCAGATTTGTTTATCAAGCACAACTAAAGTTACACAGCATACAAAATAATTACATCTTAGGAGTTAAGTATCTTCCCCATGGAGGGGATTTTCTTGACATTTATTATTAAATAAATAACATTTATTTCACTCAATCTGTTTTATTCATTGAATCATATTATAAACTGAGATCATAAGTGGTATTTATAAACATTTCTATGTTAGCTAGAATGTAAAATGAATGTCAAATTTTAAAGGAACTTGATCTAGTTTCTATTAAAAGCATAGATCTGATCACTAGTTTATTTTCCATTTGCTGATAATCAGCAGCTTACTGAATCTGTAAAGTAGGCATCTATATTGAAGCAATCAACGCGGGTCATAGCAGTTGTCCTTGCTGCTCCCAGGCATCTTTATGTGGTCTCCTTTTTTGTCTGCATAGTTTCCTCTGAGTGCCACTAGAGGTCACAGCATGGGCCTCAGAGTCTTTGTTTTCCTCCATAATGGCTCTATTCTCCTCCAGCAGCATTGACTTCCAAGCCCGCCTCGACATAAGACACCACTGTGATTAAGAGAGGTAACCTGAGACAGAGACATGGGAGAGTATAACTTCTCACAGCTAATGCTGACTAAAACACTACTTTTAATGTGAAACCAACTGTCAAATGCGCTAATAGACATTTTAAAGCTTTAATGTGGGGTAAAATTGAGGTAGGAGCTGCTCGGACACTTCCTGAGTCAGGATTCCAACTTTAGGCTTCCTGTGGGTCATCTCTGACTTTAAAAGTGACCACTTAGTACAAAGATAAAGCTCAGCCCAGTCTCTATGCAGCCAGGAGGGTGGATAAGGCCTTACAGAGACAAAGGTCATGTAATCTTATGCTATTTAATGCTTTGGGAAGCATAAAAACAAATTAAGCCCTACAGTTTATAGAGATGTAATCTATGGTAGACTCCAAGGTGCTTTACATTACCTTCACCCACATACTCACAAGCTGATGGTGGTGAGCTACTTTGAAGACACAGCTGACCTGTGGCTCCTGACAGAGGCCACTGGGTCTTCTGACCACCATTAGTAGGAAATGCAGGAGAAGTGTCTTACCCGAGGATATGGTGGCTGGCACATAAGGAGCTTGGGTTCAAACGGGTTGCAAGATGAACTCCTACGGCCATATATCACATATGCTGTTGCACGATTTTTAGTTTGAGTTTGATTTATGAGAATTTCCAGTGAAACAAACCGGTTCCACTTCTTTCCTCTGCTAGAGCACCAACCCGGTTATGTTTTAGTACCACTTAAGCTTCTAGCTTCAAACCTCTCTGCTAGCTGAGCTCAAGACATACAAATTAATCTTTAACATAATAACAATCACATTATCTTCCTCTCAAAGACAAAATAAAGTTTATGAACTAAATGTGTTTAAACAGTCTCCATGTACTGGAAAGAGCATGACTAAACGGGCTGGAAAAGAAGTTTTCAGCTTTGTCAATATGGTTTAATTTCAGAACAGGCTTCAGAATCGGCTCCAGGTTTTTTTCTCACCAGCAGGAAACTTAAAGCGACAGAAAGCTTCGGAGCATTTTGCCTCAGAAATAATTAGTATGTGGTAGAAGTGTTTTAACGTGCAGTATAAGTTTAACTGCAATCAGAAATAAACAAGGAAAAGTCTTATCCTGCTGTTCTAGGTCTTTAAACAAAAATCTACCTCATGCATAAATAAAACACTGAAGATCAGGTAACTGCACTTCATATCTTAAAATGGATCATAAACAATATAAACTCATCATAAGGAGAAATGAAAAGCAGAATTCTCATTCTCATGTTATTTGACTTGTTTGTGAACTTAGGTGTTTTTTGTAAGTAAGTACAAACTATTTATGAATAAATAACTGGAGCTGCTTAACATCATGGAGGTGCTGATCTGAGCAGGTTAGAGTCCTCAGCTGCTGGGGAGAGTGCAAAGCTGGTTTTAAGTTCCCCACATAGTTAGTTTGGGAGTATTTAATCAGGGGGTGGTCTCATGTGGTCACAGCCGGCGATTCTGCAAGTGATCCACTCACATGACAGCCAAGACCAGCTGAGGAGCCGGAGAACCTGCTGGGTTATAGCTTTGCTGTCTCACAAGCTTGCTTTAAAGATCCACCCAGGGGCTAACACATGCGGCTGTAAATCAGTCCACCTTAAAAGCAGAACAGCAACCAACCCATTAGGAGTGAATAACAGTAATGCATTAGGCATTAGCATCTTCATCACAGCCTATCATCACAATAGCGTCTGCAAAACCTCTAAACCATTTTGAGCGAGACATCAAATACAGAGTTTCCTGTCGCTCCATGGCAGGAAGCACAGGACCAAATGAGGAAGTGGAACATCATGCTTCAGCAGGAACTCAGTCCTGTGTTTGTAACAAGGAGGGCAGAAAATCCATCAAAGAGTTTCACTACCAAAGCTGGGCAGTAAAATTCCCAAAGGAGACACATCAACAGGTGACTGAGAATTAAAACCATATCTGAACCTAGCTATTAAAATTAACTATTTGATCTGAGACCTAAGATCAACAGCATAGGGGAAAAAACAAGCAGCCCACCTATAAAAATAAGCCTTTAATCTGTTTTCCCAGCTGATCTGGAAAACTATTGTTTCCCAGCTTTCAAATGTTTATGGCTTCGACTGAAACTTTGCACACATCACTGACTGTAACTTTTGCCTGCATCAACAGACTGAAAAAAACGCCTTTAAAGTTTGTTTACACTGAAAACTCCAACCTAGAGGTGTGACTAATAATTACTGTCAAATAATTAACTTAAACCAATTAGGCCCTGCTTTCTAACCCCCATTC